GTTTTTACAGACATGATAGCAAAAGTCACAGGGGTGTTTATTTTCAAGGGGTGCTTATTTTCACGATTTTACGGTAAGTGTTCAAAGTTATCAGAAATTTACAATACATTAGTTTAATAGGAAATTTGAAAAAAAACTCATCAGTAAACTTTTATACGGGTCCATATATATTTTTAATTAATTAGTTGGCAGCACACTCTAATGAACGATGCAATTTTTCTGGAAATGTTGAATAAATTTTCTATTTAGTAATTCCATCGCTTTCTCTAACGCATGAAAACTCTTAATCGGATTATTATGTTACGAAAGTCTAGCAAAGTATTCAGATCAGAAACCTTCTTGTAAATGCCAAATTGCCTTTTTGTTCGCAGTACTTCTGAATATGTAAGTTTGCAACAGCTTCGTTAAAGACTAGTTAAATGGAAGTTGACGAGGCATTTTATAAAGCTGTTTCGAAAAATATTCAATTTGTTAAAAGATTTTTTTGTGTTACGTTATATTGCATAATTTTCGTACTTCGAACGTTCGAACCCGAAAAACGCATAAAATATGTTTAGTTGTTACAGCAAAAACAATAAAGATGAGATAATATAATTTTTCTTGGCATGTCACTTTTAATAAATAAATATATGTGGTGATTGTCTTAAATAGAATCGAATTATCAATACATAAACCGAATCTTAGAACCAATACTCGATAAACAATTAATATCGATTAATCAATTGCTAATCCCAATATCGTACTTTAAGTACAAAATTTATAATTCTCTACAATATGCAAACATTTCTATATCATAAAGAAAATTTTTATAAATACACAGGATAACTGTTATTTATCGGCGAATTCTTCAGACTCATATATGCTTTAAATTTACGACAATGCAGTGATTCTTAAATGTCAAATTCACATTTAAGTACTGATTAATATAGCGAGTTCTTATTCTACAGTCTAGGAGGGAATAGGAAAACAATATGTTTCTCTAGAAGCGCAGCATTTTATTTTAATTTTTTAATTTACTTTGCGATTGTCGATCGCAGTAATCAAAGTTTTATATTTACTTTATTTTATTTTAAGGATTCTTTTCGAGTAATGTATATTCGAAGGCGTAATCAAGGTTTATTTTGTTTTCATTTGATCATTTTGTTGTTATTTTTTATGGGTTCTAATCAAATCGTACAGCGACAAATTTTTTATTTTCCGTTTATTCTTTTAATATGATTATTTCTTTATAGTTAGGTTTACTCGCTTTGGAAAGTTATGAGATAAATTTTATTTAGTTTATCAACATTTCTGTATTTTTTCTTGATCTTTCCGCTAATATTTTCTAAATCTTTAAATACAATAAATAATTTTATTTATTATTTTGCGATCAATTCGGTTTTAGTAGAATCGATTCCAATCCTTAGTTGGGTTTAGAAAGATATTTCTCGAAAAATAGTATTATAAAGCTAATATTACTTACAAAATAGTCTTTCATTTCCGCAAGACTTCCTCTGCGTACCCATCACTTCGGCCTGCATTAAGAATTTTGCAGGCACATATGCATGTTGCCGATCCTTAATGTAGGCCATTTCGTAACATTTTTTGATGGGTACGCAGGGGTAGTCTTTCCGCAACGATGGACAAAATCATGAGATCTTTACGTGAACAAAAGGTGTCGATCATAATCTATTTATATTAAAACACGGAGTTTTATTCCGTTAAACTTTCTTTTTTTGAATAATTTCTATTTCATTGCATTATGTCCTCAATTCGTATGAAATTAGTTAACGATGCATATACTAGATCATTAGCATTAACCGATTATAACATTTACAAAGACATAGACAAACGTCATGAATTTAGACAACAAACAATTTACGCTGACGAATCTCTCACAAACGAGGAAAAATCAGAGATAATATTAAAATTAAATAAAAATTATGAATTTAACAAGATTACCTATAATAAAGGAATGAAAAGATATTGTGAAAATTGCAAACAAAATTGTTTTGCAATAACATTTTGCGAACATTGTATTCGAAATTATTTAAAATTAAAATTTTCAGAATGGACATCTGGAAATAATGAAATTGATAATTTAATAAAGAAATGCCAGATGGAAGCTGTTATTCCATATAGAATAGTTGAATGGATCCCATTCGATAAATTGCAAAATATAAAATATTTAACTAAAGGTGGATGTTCAGATATATATACGGCAGATTGGATTGATGGAAGTTATGCAAAATGGGATTCTATCAGAAAACAATTAATAAGATCTGGAAGACAAGAAATCATACTTAAAAGATTAGAAAATGTCGAAAGTGCTAATAGAAGTTGGTTTGAAGAGGTATGTAATTTAAAGTATTATTAAATGTTGTTTTTTATAAAAAAAAAAAGGAAACTAATCAAACGAATTCTCATTTATAGGCTGAATCTCAATTAATATTATGCAGTAAATGGAGAAATTTCGCTCTATCTTATGGTCTTACTCAAAATCCACAAAATAAAGATCATTTTCTTGTGATGTGTTTATTAAAAATAGATTTAAGAAAATATTTACAACAAAATCATAACCAACTTACATGGAAACAAAGAATCAACATAATTGAAAACATAATTAATGCAGTTTTATATCTTCATTATGAAAATTCTATACATAGAGATTTGCATTCAGGAAATATATTGTATTCCGAATATACTGGTGAATGGTATATTAGTGATTTTGGATTTTGTGGACCTGCTGATAAACCATTAGAAAGTATATATGGAAATCTTCCTTATATAGCGCCTGAAGTTATTAATGGAAAAGGATATACATTTGCATCAGATATATATAGTATCAGTATGCTCATGTGGGAGATTTCATCTGGACAACCACCTTTTGCTTATTATGACCATAATATTGATCTTGTAATGAAAATAATTAATGGAATGAGACCAAATATAGTTTCAGGCACTCCATTAGAATATAAGAAATTAATAGTACAATGTTGGAATGCTGATCCATTGAAGAGACCCGATGTTGAAACACTTTTTTTCAAAATCAAAGAAATTTTTAAATCATATTATCAAGATAAAAATGATGAGAGTCATCATATTAGTAATACATATGATACAAATTTTGATATAAAATCTAAATCAATTAACTTGCTAGCTAAAAAATTTAGCAAAATTCATTTTTTTGAAAATTTACCTGAACCTAGAAATGCTACTAAAGGTAAATTATTAAATTATAATTATTAAATAATAATTGAATATATTTAAATTTAATTGTTTTTAATTAATAGAAGAACAAGAAGGTATATATTTAGAATTTAAAATATCAATAAATCTTTGATGATTATTATTTAATATTTTATTTTTTTGTTAAAACAAAGCATATGATAGTAAGCAAAATAGCCTTAATATTCCAAATTGTAAGTATTTTAAGCTTTACAAACAATTTTAAAATGTTATTAATTTATTTATTTAAATCACCAAAGTTATATATAAAGAAAAAAGTGAACAAAATGAAGATGCAAAGCATTTTAGTAAGATTTTTATTTATTTTAAAGTTATGTATTTATAATTTAATAATTTTAAAATATTTAAATATTAAAATTAAGATATAAATGTTGAAATAAAAGAAAATTCTAAAAGAAATTATTCTGATGGTAATAGTTAATTTTTATTATACTTTTAAACTTAATTTATTTGCAATAGTATTTCTAATAAAAAATTTTTTTGTTAGTAAATGAAAATTTATGCATAAAATCTAAAAAAATCAAATCTAATTATATTAATGGTAATTATTTAATAAAGTTTGTTTAAATATATATATTATATTTTATTAATAAATTAATTTTCTTAGAAGTTCCTATAAATTTCAATAATAATGAACAAAAAAAATATATTGAAAGTGACGGTAAGAAATTACTTTTAAATAATTCATTTATTAAACTAAATTAATTAATTTTTAAATCATAGATGATGAAATATATAATAATCCAAACCTTCATTCAGAAGATCAAGAGGATTTGGTTATTTCTTAAAATAAGTAATATAAAAGCAAATTTAAATGATGCATAAATTATTTAATACCAAGATTAATGTAGCAAATTATTTTATAATTTTTTATTTACTTTTACTTTTTTTATAATTAAACTAAATATATCGAACTAATTGAAAAATTGGCAGTAAAAGAAGGCATTATATATCCTAATGAAAAATTGTTTATATAAACTTTTGATCAATTAATACATATTTTTAATATAAATTAAACAAATTAAACCTCTTATTTTCTGGGCTCAAAATTATTTTCAAAGGATTTGAAAGAATTTCTTTCTATTTAACTATACTTATAAATGTTATTATCTTTGCAAATTGTAAAAGAAATGATACTATTTATTAAAATATTTTTCCTTCCAGTATCATGTATTAATTATTAAGTAATCTAATGAATATTAAGAATTGAAATAGTATATAATATAAATTACTTTTATCAGAATAATAAAAAGTATAAAAAGTAAACTAATATTAATACTTGCAGATTCTGTATAATTTTTTTCTCAACAGATTTAAATAAGATCTAATTTTAAATATTGGTTTATATAAGTAAAAAAATTAATTATCAATAATAGTGTTCTGCAATTCGATTTGATATTTGAATATTTGATTTGAAAATCAAATCAAATACAAATTCAAATTTATATTTAATTTGATT